GAGAGAGAGAGGGATATATATATTTTTTTATTGTACGACACACTATCACGACAGTCACACGTTGACTACTAAGCGAACTAAACTTCCCACAGCGCTGATTGGAAAAGAAATGTAATGTGATCATATGCAACCAGTGATGGGCAAGCGGGCGTGTTATAACTAATTAACATGTTGAGTCGGGTGTGGCTTGCCCTCCATGGCAGAGTCTCAGAACCCCTGAGACCAATTCACTGAACTGACATGGTTCGATCGAACCCAGGTTAAGAACCACAGCTCTAGACTTCAGACAGTCTCTCCAGCAGGTCTCCTTGAAACGTACCTGTAAAATGTCACCAGGGCGGGTTCCAGGAGGCATCTTAATCAAATGGCTCATTGGTCTACTCTCAATGTGGAGGAGCAGTGGCTCTACTCTGATTTTCTCCTGGATGACCGAGCTTCTCACCCACCATCACCATCTCGAAGGGAGTGCATGAACCCCTACGGAGAAAACTCCTTTCAGTCGCTTGTATCCTGAATCTTGTTGCTATCATGACTTTGAGGTCCTGACCATAGGTGAGGTAGGAATGGCGATTGACTGGTAAATTAAGAGCTTTGGCTCAGCTCCTTCTTCACCATGATGGCCCAGTACAAAATCCGCATCACTGAAGATACTGAAATGATCCACCCGTCGATCTCTGGTTTCATTCTTCCCTCACTCCTGGACAAGATGACAAGAAACGTCAATTCCTCCACTTGGGGCAAGATCTCATCCCGGACCTGGATAGGGACCTTAACCCTTTTCTGACTATGGACCATGATCTCAGATTTGGAGCTGGTGATTTTCATCCCAACCACTCCACACTCAGGAATCCCTCCAATGAGAGTTGATGATTGCGGCCGAATAAAGCCAATAGTACCACTTCATCTGCAAAAAACAAAGATGAAATGTTCAGGCCACCAATTCGAATGCCCTCAAGGTCTTGGCTGCGCCTAGAAATGATGTCCATACAGACATGACATGACATCAGAGTAATGTATGTACAATTGTTGAGGTCATCTTGATGATCTTTTGTTTTGATACCAGGTCCAGGCATGAAAATCAGCAATTAAGTTTAGATGAGAAGTGTTGCATGATACCAGACACACACCTTGCTTGAACTGATGTGATCAGGCCCTGCACCTACTTTTGGTTAAATCTCTTCAGCTGTCTCTTCACCTCCCCACTGTCAGTGCTTAATCCATCCATAGATGGATAAACATTGAGTGTGTCATCAATAAGGTAGCTCAGGAAAGTGTGGTAGTGATGGGGGGCTGTGAAGCTGTTAAGGTAAAGTGTGGTGGGACGGCAGGGGGTGTTGATCTGTAAAGCACCACTGTGCACCCCTTTGCTGGTCTCTTCTGTTGAAAAGTCGGATCTGGCTTATTCCTTTTAACCACTGTATCGTCTCCCTCAGCTGAAAATTGCTCTCCTGTTTGCAGTGATAAGAGTCTTACTCAGAATAAAATTACTCCCAAAACTTTGTGTGCGGATGACATTGAAGATAACTCTTTTCAGAACCACAGCATCAACTCAAAAAATGAGCTTCTGCTGCTTTGAAGACAAAACGCAACATTGTCACACCAATTTGCGATTTTACCCGGTGAGTCATTATGTCGAGCTTTGAAGTTTCCAAAAATCATTGGGCAGTAACATTCATTTCAAAACATCTGGAGAAGCCAATGTTTCCTTGTAGCTTGTAGCATTATTGTTAGTTGCTCACTGAAGAATAGCGGTTCCTTTTCACATGTTTATATTCAGCCTTTTACATTTTTGTCAGGATAATGATTGTTGGACTTTGTAAACACATGACTGCAATGAATGAGTTCATATCTTTTTTTACAGTGTCAATTGATTTGACATGTCAGTTTGCAGAGTTGTTACAAAAGAATCAGAATCAAAATGATCCAAATTTACAAATCACATTTTTTGCTTTCCAGGATCAAATAATCAGTTTTATTTTTGAGCCGTTTCTTCAAAAGCAAAATCGGATTGGATCACCCTGATCCAGGTGCACTGTTTTCAAGATTCACCAAATCCAGATTCCTAGTGCTCTCAATGGGACAGCATATCACAATATGGGCTACAAGCAATGTAAAAAACAACAGGCAGAAGAGCCAACATGGCGTCACTTGAAGTGACATCCACTTCTCTTCATGATTTCTTTAATCAACACTCATCTGAGCCACAACAAAAAACAAATACCGGTACATAAGAAAATACATTGTGAATACTTAAGAGATGCCCAATAGTAAAGAACATAAAGGATGTTGTTTCTTGGAAATAAACAAAGAGTGATGAATGATGGGGGGAAGAATATATTGTGTTTTTTTTGTTGTTATGATTGAAATCAGTTTGGTGTTTTATTTCATGGCAACAAGATCCTGTTTATTTTATTTTATTTTTCTATCCTGAAAGGGGGCGGCTCGGTGGTCCAGTGGTTAGCGCGTCGACCTCACAGTGCAGAGGTGCAGGTGGAGTTTGCATGTTCTCCCTGGGTCTGTGTGGGTTTTCTCCAGGTACTCCGGTTTTCTCCCACATTACAAAAAACATGCATGGAGGGTAAATGGAACATCCCCTTAAATTGTCCCTGGGTGTGAGTGTGAGCGTGGATGGTTGTTTGTCTCTGTGTGCCCTGTGATTGGCTGCCAGCCGGTTCAGGGTGTTCCCCCGCCTACTGCCCGAAGACAGCTGGGATAGGCTCCAGCACCCCATGCGACCCTTGTGAGGAAAAGCGGATCGGAAAAATAAATGAATGAATGAATATACTGAAAGGCTTATTTATTAGCCTCAGTCTACTTTGTCCACTTCATCACTAACAGTTGAACAAATTCAGTTTAAAATATAAATAGGAATTATTTGACCATTTTTAAAGTTTTTAAAGTTTTGCTACATTTTCTTCCTAAAATCCACCTTGAAATCAAAGTCTCGTCAGGTTATCTTTGAATAACCGTCCCTTGTATGCCTATATGGGAATAGGATGACCTCCACACATACCATGTTAAGTTTAGACAACCTATCAGGCTTAGAGTAAGAGAACAAACTAAGCCTTGGGCCATTCTTGTTTGAATTGTGTTCTTTTTTGTTCCTGACTTGGTTGCACATCCCTTGAGCAGCGTAATTGTAGTGACAGGATATCAAGTCACTTTGTGAGTTTATATGAAAGCGTGTATTTGGCGTCCTTGCCTACAGTATGACGCTGTGTGTGTTGTGTCGGTGGCCTCAAACGCAAGACAATTTAATTAGCCTCAGAGGCCTTGTGATTGTGAGGACGGTGGACTGCACATCCACGGGCCTCAGATGACAGCAAAGTCTCGGGTCAGTAAGCAAAAATAAGTTGAAAATAAGTCGCCACGAGTCAATCTTCAAATTTTTATACATTTTATCTTTTTGATTCGACATTGTTAATGACAAAAATAAAACTTTCATCTGTAACGTGTAAATATACAAATTATGGTATAATACTTCACATCTTTTTCATCTACTAGACCAGGGGTCGGCAACCCAAAATGTTGAAAGAGCCATATAGGACAAAAAAAACAAAAAACAAATATGTCTGGAGCCGCAAAAAAATAAAAGCCTTCTATTAAACTTACAATGAAAGAAACACATGCTGTATGTATGTAGGAGACTGGACTGTCTCAGAATTATTTATGTTATTCATTCCTTTGTTGTGTGTTCACAAACGCCCCCAAAGAATTTATTTTGTAATTTCCTCGCTTGATTTTTTGTTGTGATGCATTATTTTCGCTTTTCTTAGTGTCAGTGAAGTGATCATTAATTTCCGTTTTTCTGAGGCTGTCTTTGAATGCCTCTCGAGTCGAACGACAAGAGAGAAAGCACGGAGTCCGACGCAGACGTGTCTGTGTTTGTCGAGACTGTCAAAAGCATAAATAAAGTGTATGTTTTAAAATATCAACACCACAGCTCTCCTTTTTCGGAGCTGCAACATGTATCTATATCTATTTGAGCTATATTAGCTTACTATCAAAATCTTTTTCCATTTTCAAACATTTTTTATAAAGTTCCAGGGAGCCACTAGATGTCGCTAAAGAGCCGCATGCGGCTCTGGAGCCGGGTGTTGCCGACCCCCGTACTAGACGAATAATTCTCAACTTTTACTGAGCCAACGCACATATTTTAATTTTAAAAATCTCAAGGCACACCACCAAACAAAATTGTCACAATAAGTGGATGCACGTCAAGGAGATACTGTACTTTCAACAATCTCATGGAATATCATTCATTGTTCTGTCTGTCACTGTATTATATTGCTGATACTGATAGATGGACAAAGATACATTATTTGCTATAAATGAATAATTTTCGAACCATTTCCAGCAGCACAGAGCTCTTAAGGTACATTCTTCTTCTTCTTCTCCTTTCGGCTTGTCCCTTTTCAGGGGTTGCCACAGCGAGTCATTAATTTCCATTGTACTTAAGGTACATTAATAGAATTAAATCAGTCAATTAATTCTTGTAGAATTAATTGACCTGAAGAAAATCATCTCACCACATCATCCACAGTGTCTTTTTCCATCCATTCATGATCTGATCCGCTTCTCCACATGAAGGGCGCGGGTGTGCTGTTGAAGCCTGTTCTTGCTGTCTTTGGGCAGTTCGCGTGAGACTATGTGGCACACATAGACAAACAACCCACAATAACACCTACGGATAATTTAGAATGTTCGATTAACCTACCGTGCATGATTTTGGAATGTGGGAGGAAACCCGGGGATAACCCATGTCACCATGAGGAGAATATGCAAATTCCACACAGGAAGACTGGGGCTGGATTGGAACCCACGACCTCTGCACTGTGAGGCCGATGTGCTAACTAATTGACCACCGTGCCGCCCCCTTGAGGTTATGTTTATGGGCAAAATAGAGTGCTGTCTCAGTGTGCTGTCGCTGTGTGTGTGTGTGTGTGTGTGTGTGTGTGTGTGTGTGTGTGTGTGTGTGTGCGTGTGTGTCATGATTTCAGGTTACTGCCAAGGATGGCGGGGATGAAGGAACAGCAGTTCCCTGAGGAAAAGCCCTTGCTCCCAGAGCAGAGAGGAACCGATTCGGACATGGTCAGTTTACTTGCTTTAACTTGTTTTATTTCTGTAACTATACATTTAGGGCCTTAACTGTAAGCTAAGGGGAGGTATCATTTATTTTTCAATTGTATGATATTCCCAGAGTCAACATTTTCATTTGGGCCCCTTGTGTGATTTAATATATATAATAACCATCTTTGCCCCCTGTGGTCTTGAACTGGGATCTGGGTGGTTCTTATCTGGGTTCCAGCAGGTCAAATGATATGCGAGCCATGTAGACCACAGTTGCGTTTGCCCATTTCAGGTTCCAATTGGTTTTGGTGGGTCACTTATTGTCACGTGTAGTAGGGAAAAGAACACCTATTTCACAAAGGCTTACCAATAAACGTCTAAATCACAGGTCAAACTCAAGGCCCGGGGGCCAAATCTGGCGAGCCACATGATTTTATGTGGCCCACGAAAGCAGCTCAAACATGTCAATTTCCATGATCCTTTCTAAAATGTCTACCAAAATGTCAAATTCTCATCTGTAATAAATAAGACATCTATTCGAAGGATTTTCTTGTTACCAAACCCCTCATGATAGTAACTAAAACAATAGTTGAATCAACAGTTATTCTTGACTTCTTTATATGGTTTCAGTCATAGTGGCCGTCCAAGTGAAATGGTAACTAAAATGTGGCCCGCGCCAAAAATGAGTTTGACACCCCTGGTCTAAATGATATGACGAATATTGGCAGGGAAGCAGGGAGGCGAGGTTGTTGTGTGCACACAAAACAATTATTCATTTTCAACTGTAGAACAAAAGCAAACAAGGTAGTTGGATAAATAAAAATAAATAAATAAAAACACGCACATAAAATTAACCAAGCCCAAAAACAAGGTTTAAAGTAACCAAACAAACACGAGGACAACAACATGACTTGGCCAGACTTGAATAGGGATAAGAGAACACACAAACAAGACGTGACCAGGACAAGGAACTGAATAAGAGTGATGAGAAAGCAGGGAACTAAATACAAACAAACTGACGGAACAACTTGGATAAGACACACATGATTGAGGGAACAAACTGCAAGACACAAAGGACCGGGACAACAAGCCCAGGTGGACCCAAGAACCTAGTGAAACAGACAAAAAAAGCAACACAAGGAAAACCTGATAAAACTAAATTCTTTGATTCAAAGCCAAATTCACAAAGGCAGATCATGACTCAAATGTGTTCAATCAAGAAATCACTGAAACAGAAAACAAAATCAATTCAGACAAAAGATCTAAAAAAAAAAGCTGCAACAAAATTACACCGGCCAAAGAAATTCCAGAACTGTCGTATAATAAAGTAAATAACATCTGTCAGTCTGAAATGGGTTACAAAAGCCATATTTGAAGACTTAGGATTCGAGCGATTCATAATACTTTTGGTATACGTTTAAAACAGCTCTGTTTGTTACAAAGTGAGCATTTCTGGAGCTTGGCGAACTAATAAGATAAATCTGATGCTGTTTTCAAAAAGAGAAGCGACATTAATTACAATTTAATTTCTATGAATATGCATTTCCATTAATATGTAAAATTAGACATTACATATCATTTTGAAAGTAAAAGTACATGTTTAACAAAACCCCCCACAACATCTCTGCAATGTAATTAGGTAAAAACCTTAAAGCCATGTACGGTATGCACATGCCAGTTTTAACACATTTGTTGCCGCAAAATAGTGGTTTATAATCGAGGAAACACATTAATTAAGATGCTTTACTTTTTTCAGCTACTTCGTCCACTTTAGGCATTAATACCGACAAGAATGCCCACCGTCGACTGAATTTGTTTCGTGATATTTGTGCCAAATGTAGCATTTGAAACATGGGCTGGTTTAGGTTTGCATCTGTTTCGTCCAGGAGAGAACAATCCATGCGGTGCCGGATTGTTGCCAGGAGTGGCCCACATACAATTGCTATCTGGGAATCTATTCCCTCTTTGTCCAAATAGAAGCCCAAACATGTCTGGCCAATTCCAACCCATTCCCACTTTGACCACCTATAACCCAGGCATAGCTGATAAGTTCTTACCCATGCCTATTTAGCTATTTACCTCTTATGGCATCCAGACATGGTTGACCACTTCTAACCCATGTCCACTGAGCTCATATAAAGCCGATATGAGACCCGGACATGGGTAATCAGTTCTAATCCATGCCCAATTTGGTCATACAAAATATGGCACCCAATCACATGTTCCCGGTTTAAGCTCATTCCCAGAAAGCCCAGATGAAACCTACATGGAACCCAGTACCATCGCCCCTTCTAGCCCATGCACACTTGGTACCCTGGAAGCCCGCCTTTAACCCACGTGAGGCCCAACTGGACATATTGGCTGGGCCAAGATAATAACATACAGAATTGAATCCTGGGTAGATTGCTTTTAAGGTTTGCACTGTAACCATGAATGAATGATATGTACTGTATATCATTGAAGCTTTTTAAAAGTGAGGAGAGGTTGGGAACAGAGATAGACACAAATAAAGAGTGTAACCTATTTGTACCTAAAGAAAGGTCAATCTTTCTTGTCCACTTAAGTACTTTTTACCTGGTCAGATAGTAGGTTTAGTCTGAAATTGACTCTCACCATTTTTTCTTCACTGGTTTATTCTATTTAAACAGGTAAGGCAACACAGACACAACAGTGATGTCTTCATTGTCTAGAAAGCAGACCATGCAACAAATTGACAAAATTTTAATTCTTACTGCATGGATGACCACTCAAATAATTAAACACTGACGTAATATTTGGTCATGCCAATGAAGAGAACAATCTTAATATGCTGCACAGCAACCAGAAGGACACAATGTGACATGAATCAGCTCATTTTGCAAAGTTGGGGAGACTCGCACATGCCTTCCTGCTAGTAGAGTAAATAGTGGACGTCATTGACAGCCTCATTGATTCAGTGTGTTGCGAGTGCCTGACCCATTTCATTGTTCAGTGGAATAGAAGGTGACACAAATTAATTTGACGCATATCCATTTAGAGTGCCAGTCTAATATTTTATCCGCTTAAGCGCTGCTTTCGCAAACGCTTTCTCTTCTAATTACAAAGGGAAACATCGTCTCACTAACTCATATTTCACATGCCGTTCGATAATATGCAATTGTATAAAAGGCAAAAGTGGATATTTTGTGTTTCACCACACAGCAGGAAAAAGGAGAAGAGGCATCAGGCGGACAGCCGTGCCCTTCGACCCATAAGCCCTTCAACAACCCCCCGCCGCACAGTCGTCCTACTCATCGTTGGCATGTCATCGCACGACATTGGCTCCGCCAGACCCGCCGTCGGACCAGCGGAACTCTTCCAGTAATAACCACAACAAGCAAAAACACAAATTAAAATATAAAATATTGACTTCAGAAAAACAAAATGCACAATACAGAGAAGTGATCACTTCTGTAAGATGCAAATATTTTTGATACATACGATTTTAAAATTCCTGGGAAGAGAATCTGTGTTCTTGTTCCGACTCAAATGAAGGTGAGAGTTTATCAGTGACTGTATGCTGCATATTTGACCAATTACCATCCGTCCATTTTCAACATTGCTTATCCTGAAGAGGGTCACGGGAATTGCTGGAGACTATCTCAGCTGACTTTGGGCAGAAGGCGGAATAACCCCTGAACAGGTCACCAGTCAGTCACAAGGCACATATAGAGACAAACAGCCAGATACACCCACATTCACGCCGCCACTGAGTGGGAACCATTCACGTGCTGCTTGCACACAAGTCAGGCGAGTGTACCATGACACCATCAGCAACTTCAACAATTCCTGAAAGTAAAAAAAGTTCAACAGGAATATAAGGGGTAAATTGCAGTAACTGCCTTTGTTGGTGTCCCCATATAGCATAAGGTTTGACTTTAATGGGCAGTTTAGAAGATTCAAAGCAGGGGTGCCCATTACGTCGATCGCGATCGACCGGTAGATCGCGGACTGGTTCCAAGTCGATCGCGAGGGGTGTACAGGAGAAAAAAAACAAACAAAAAAATCCCCCAACCATTTGTGTGTCTTTGTGCATGTTCGTAATATCTTTTTTGTGTTAATGTACACTGCACCCTAATCATCCTATCAGTCTCATTTTCACAAAAAGTATTTAAAAAATTGAATATAATAAAGCAGGTAAATCTTTAACCTACGGTGACGCGTGATCTGCGTCACCGGAAGTTGTTAGCGCTCATCAGTCTGCAATTGCAGCTTGTGATCAGAGGTGTTGCGCGATAACTTTTATTGTTATCATTATTCTCATTCAGAGTTTGTTTCATGTACAATTCCCCGAGGGCCCGGGCAAAGAATAGGAATCCAAAGTGCCGAGGGAAGCACTTTAAAACGGTACGTGTGAGCTACGATAGTGAACAGGTTGCAAAAGTGCGTCGTATGCCTCTGTGCCAGGCTGTTGCTCATCATGGCATGCGCGTGCGCGGCAACGGGTTGATAGCGGGAGGTTGGATGATCGAGAAGTCGATCTTCGCTCCAAAAAGTTTGGGCACCCCTGATTCAAAGGGTATATGTGTATGTAACAGAGGCACGGATCATGGTTGTATGGATATATACAGTACATTAGCATTTAAACACTTAAATAATAGTATACAAATTGCAGTTCATTGTACCCTTCTGTTAAGGAATGAACCTCCCCACCCCAACAATTGTCACAAAAAAAAATTACTTGAAAGTGATCTAAGCCATATTACATACAAATTTACTGTGAATTAAATAAGAGAATGAGGCCGTGCCTCATTGTGCCCCAAGTAGGAATGACAACTCAAACTGGCCTGGAAAATTTATGGCACACTGTAAATGCTAACATAAACATTCATTATATATGACGACCGGCGGGCCGGTAGTCGAGTGGTTAGCACGTCGACTTCACAGTGCAGAGGTACCGGGTTCAATTCCAGCTCCGGCCTTCCTGTGTGGAGTTTGCATGTTCTCCCCGTGCGTGCGTGGGTTTTCTCCGGGTCCTCCCACATTCCAAAAACATGCATGGCAGGCTGATTGAACAGACAAAATTGACCCTAGGTGTGAGTGTGAGCACGTATGGTTGTTTGTTTCTGTGTGCCCTGCGATTGGCTGGCAACCGGTTCAGGTTGTCCCCTGCCTACTGCCCGATGATGGCTGGGATAGGCTCCAGCACCCCCCTGGACCGAGTGAGGATAAAGCGGTTCCGAAAATGAATGAATTCATGACGAGTGACCCAATTTAGCTTTTATTAACATGTTGGGAACACTGATTTTAAATTGGTAAATTGTAATTCGGGGTGAGACGAACATGCCTCAGTTTCATCCATCCAATCTTTTCTTTCTCTGAACTGAGCATACCCTCACCATCGTTGGAGGGTGGATAATATAGAGAAGAGTGCCCCCTGCTGGTCGCAACGCTGCTCTGTTATTGTATTTTCTCGAGCTACAATCTGTCCAGCCACGGATTTTTCAGATTCCTGGAGCTCTACCAATTAAGGGCGAGTCTGCCATGTCTTTTCTCCAGTGAGCTTTATAACATTTTTATATATAATATAATTGTAAACTCTTGAAAAGTGTCTTTGAGTACCATGAAAAGTGTTTTCAAAATAAACATATTATAATAATAATAATATTATTATTATTATTATGTCACATAGAAAAATAAAATCTTCAATAACAGTGATGAAATAACACGTTACAATGTATAATAATAATAATAATAATTATAATTATTATTATTATTATTATTATTATTATTATTATTATGTCATATAGAAAAATTAAATCTTCAATAACAGTGATGAAATAACACATGTTACACTGTGTACCAAGTAACTAATTGGGGGTAACCCCCCCACCCCCATAAAAAAATAAACATTTTAATTTAGCTTATAAGCGTGTGTTATTTGTCAGCACATTGGAAATCGAACAGGAACAGATTCCTCCTTAACCAAGTATAAAACTGATTACTTATTCCTTATTAAATCCATTTTTTTTTTATCAAGTGAATAGATATCACATTCATGTTTGGGGGATTTTAAAACGTGGCCATTTTTCATCTGTCGTATTTTGAAGCCAACTTACCCTTCGTTTGGCCCCTTTAATATTTAATGGGATTTTGGCCGTGAAGGACACCGCCTGCACTCTTGCCAAATGACTAAATCCTTCACTTATCAACTGAATGTTCAATGTCATAGCTTAAACAACATTTGTGAGGTGGAAATTGACCAGCATTATTTAAAACCAGACTGGATCTTTGGTTTTCAAACATGTAGGTGGTCTAGTGGTTCAACATAATCGTGCACAGTTTATAACGACCCGAGTCATAATGATTTTGAAAACGTAATGAATCTCGGTTTGAATGGAAACCATGTTCCATCATTAATGAGTGTTTTCCTCTCCTCCTTCTGTGTCTCTCTCGCCAGGACAACTGTGAACAGCTGATGCCAGTCGGCGATTGGAAGGTATGCTGCTATTGTTGTCTTAACCTCTTCAACTTTTGAGGTCCTGCCATCTGTTGAATGTCATGTTTGCCATTTCAATCCTTCTGGTGTGCTTGAGGATTTCATGCAGTACGGGTTGTCGGTTTGAAAATTAGAAAGAAAAGTCAAGGTGAAAATCATTGCCTTAAATATGCACATGCATTTTAATGCACCTTTTTAGATTCACCATTTGAAACAATGTTTTCAAAACATTTTTTTCCCAATTTAGAGGCTGGAAAAAAAAGGTTATAATGGTGACTCCATATTGGTGGGGTGTTGAAAAATATTTGTGGGTACCGGTAGTAATATTTTATAAAATTTTTATTGTTTTAGTCTCAATGTTTTTAAATATGTATTCAATATTTAATATTGAAGTAATATTTGTACTGCAGTGTGTTATTTTTAACTGAACCACAAACAAGTTGAAGTGTCAAGGAAGAAGCAATTACCCTGGCCACTGCAGCAATATTATATAAATACAAAGAGAGGAAACAAGTGAGAAATAGAGGAAAGTAAATATTTTCGAGACTGTTGACTCCATTCAGTGACTGTTCTTGTGCAGTCGCTTGACAGGACTCACCACACTTTGACTTTTAGCCACATGTATATGTGAAATTATGAACATATTTAACCCTCTCATGCACCCTGTAACGTGATAACATGGCACCTGGCTAGCTTTGTGGATTTTTTTTTCCATCTTTAGGCTCAGGGTTGGGCATCAACCCTCAAAAATCGAGTGGAAGCGGGACAAAAATGTTTCCACTTGTTCAAATTGAAAAATGTTGGTTCCTAGTTTTGATGCCTCGTCTGCCGACCCACTGAAAAAAACCCCAACAAAAAAACGCACTGCTCCTCCTGAATCTGAGACGCGATTTCCCCACGGACCCTCCTCTCCAGCTCCTCTGAATAGACGAGTGGTTCTTAACCTGGGGTTCGGTGAATCAGTCTCAGGGGTTTGATGAAGACTAAGACACCCGACTCAACATGTCATTTAGTTGAGTGCTTGGCCATCACTGGCTGCAGATGATCACATTACATTGCTTGTCCAATCAGTGCTGCAGGAAATGTATTTTGCTCAGTCGTCAACGTGTGACTGTCGTGATAGTATGTCGTGTGATTTATTTTATTTTTTTAATGTTTTAACACATGCTATGTGAGCAAAGAAAGGAAGTGGTCAGACCAATATGTAAAACATGGATTCACATACATCAACGAACGTGATGGGACTCAGCGTCCTATCTGCTTGATTTGTCATGCCAAGTTGAGCAACTCTCGTATCGCACCGGCAAAACTGAAGGAACACTTCTCAAATCATATTTTTATTTTTCACTAAAGGATTGGTGGATCTGCATATGAACCGGTTGGGTTCGGTACCTCTAACAAGTTTAAGAACCACTGGAATAGACCTTACCAGGGAGGCTGATGAGTGTGATTCCTCTGTTGTTTGAACACACCATCAGTCCGCTTTCTTAAAAAGAGGAACCAGCACCACGGTTGTTAAAATTCAAAGGCACTGTCCTCAATGCCCATGCGATGTTGCAGAGGCGCGTCAACCCGGAAAACCCCACAACATCCAGAGCTTTGAGGAACGTCAAGAGGATCTCATCCACCCGCAGGGCTTTGCCACTGAAGAGCTTTTTAACCACTTTGGTGACTTAAACCCCAGAGATTGGGGAGCCCACCTCAGAGTCTCCAGACTCTCTTTCCTCTAAGGAAGGCATGTTGGTGGAATTGAAGATGTCTTCGAACGATTCTGCCCACTGTGCACAGTGCTAATGGTGCCCTGCTTCACGCTCCTGAGACGCTGGACGGTGGACCAGAATTTTCTCTAAGCCGTCCGGAATGACTTGTTGATTAATTGATTTTTTTTTTACACCTCCAATTTCAACCTCAGTGTTTTCGTCACATCTTTATGACGTAATAATGGTGAAAAGCAAGCAAATAGATGTTTTAACTCTCCTATTCTCATTTCTTTCACCTACTGTAGTGTCCAACATACATTACAGTATAATCAAAGGTTGTATTTTTGTTGTTTTCATCTCATTATCCAATGGTTCACTTATTTTATGCTATTTCTATACTGGGGTGAATTTGAATTGATTGTTAAAGAATTTTGAGGGGCCAAGGAAATAAAATATATTGTCAAAGGGCCTAAGCAACGGCACCTCGCATTATTGCGGTTCATCTTTCGCGGATTTTTTTTTCCTAGTGTAATTTTAAAAACAAAAATGGAAAAAAAAAATGCAGGCCAGCTGACTTAAGTTTCATCCTTGTTTCTTCCATAGATTTTCTAAACAGGTCTATTTGACCCACAATATAGCAGGAGGGTCAAAACAGTTACCAGTACATCGCAAGTGACTTTGTTCTTCTTCCGCATCCTTGTCTCAACAAAAAACCCTCCCCTCACTACACTCAAACTAGATGGTTGGTTAATACCAACATTATTAGTTTATTACATGTGATTTTGTGTTTGTTTTAAAATCAACATTAGGATGCTCTTTGCTATCTGGCTTATCTAGTGAATCCACCGATGGTTCCAAGAATGAATTTCTGTTTTCTGCCGCAGTTGATTTGACTCGATGTGACATCGATGTGTACGCTGTCATTATGACTCCCACGTAGATTCACAGCCTTGTGGAGCGATGCTGAACCCAAAGCTGGCACGTAGCCTTGAAGCTGATATGTGGCCGTGGTGCTGATGAGAGAGGACGCGTAAAAGACTGCCAGTACATTGTATCCAATTGTATGATGGAGAGGCAGAGTTCTGGCCAATCCTCACATGCGTACACCACCCCCTCCGTGTTATTGTTGCCTATAGCGTGTCAGAGGGATGAGAGCCGGGGGGGGGCGGCATCGGCTTTAAAGTCTGGGTGCGGGTTGCTTCCAAGCAGACAAAGACACTGCAGCAGTGCGCAGCATCTATCATCCGCCGTCTTCGTTCTCCAGCAGGTGCTGACCAGAATCTAGTCCCTTAAAACAGGAGAGGCCTGGCTGTCTGCATCTTTCCTCCTTTTGTTTAGCCACTGAGAGAACATTTACTGTGGAATCATGCCTGAATGCTGGGACGGGGTGAGTGGACTGGATTCAGGCTATGTTGTATGCTGTGGCGAGTGATGCGAGTGATGCGGTATGAGTGATGAAGGTTGTGGTATGCTGCATCGGTGAGCGGCATGTGATTGGAATTTATCACTGTGGATAAATTGGATTTGATGAAAATAAAAATAATATTATAATATGTTTTTTTTTTTTTGTAAAATATGTACACAGAAGGAGTAGTTGCAGAATAAATAAGAACATTTAAAAACTCCAGAGTGGCATTTTCAGGCTGCTACGGTATGTACAGTGTAATGCCGCTTGACACTTTGTTTTCATGCCGAGCTGAAACTGCAGTGTCAGAGCAAATCATGGGTCATTCTGTTCATTTGGCCCACTGACATACTTAAGTATGCCACAACGGGTGATCTTTTCCTCTGCGGATAAATGTGTGTACATGTAGTTGCGCATGGGCATACGTGCCTGTTGAAAGAAAGCATACAGCCTCTTTGTAGCCATTTTGTTCACCTTGAAATGAACAAATATGTGTGCAAAAATTGATCATATTTCCGTGTTTTTGGTGGTGACGCGTTGATGAGTGAAAATTGATCATGTCAAGGGGTCCAGGCAGAAAATCATTTTCTTCTGCGTCATAAGAGCCATCTCTCATGATTCTCCCTTCTCGACATCTGAAGGTCATCAAGTTAGCACCTTCTTAAGACTGTGTTTACCATTTGTAATCCAATCCTAAAAACAATTTTCTAAAAAGTAAGTACCACAAATAAAACGGCAATTCTCCCTTGTGTTGATCCTGAATTAATAAGTTCATGTCCGAGTTCGGTCGTAGCGCATGGCGGTCTGACTGCAATTCTATCTGTGGCCAAGGGTGAGAAGGTCGGGGGGTTATGCAGCGTTGCTCATCATTCAGCTCCAATAATAGTGAGTCATTTGGACATTATGTAAATAACTTCATGACGAATGTGTTATCACGTTGAATTAAAATTGTGGCGCATGCAGCATCTGATATGCTATCTGGAGGTGTCGATCAACAAGAGGTGGTTGGAGAGATGTTTTCCTGATGGAGTGCGACATACCGATAGGAAGAGAGGAGACATGAGCAGAATGAAGGCCTTGGTGCCGACCCGTCACTTGAACTTTCGCCACAGTTCAAGACTGAAACTTGTCAATATGTTTGACCTGCGTGTTCTTTCTTTGTGTGGTTGCGTAAACATGTGTCTTAACCTCCTTTCAAATTTTGATGGCTCTGATCGACTGACAAAGTGTGGGTCAGGTCTATGACTGATTGCAGAACGTGTTCTTTATAAAGTGCTCAAAGCCATCTTTATTGCCCTCAGCACAGAGACAGACTCGTTTTGGATGAATACTCAATTTATTATTTCTACTTCTATTAATTCTACATGAGTGGATGTTTTTGTTTGAACAAGCGTGTTTTCCTCTACAGGAACATGATGTTGAGACCCCTTATGGGATGCTCCATGTGGTTATCCGCGGGGCGCCCAAAGGGAACAAGCCTGCTATCCTTACCTATCATGATGTGGGACTCAACCGTGAGTAGTGTGGATTTCGTCCTTGACAGATGTGCCAGTGTGATTTTTTTTTTATTCGTTTTGTTTTTTAATAAAGATGTTTTTTTTGCTCGCTTCTCATGATAATTGGCTACATCGACAGCTGCTTTCACTCACACATAAACGCATGCACATGCACAAAGTGAGAAATTCAAATCGCCAGGGTGACAGCTACGATAAATCGAAACACAAATAAGACAAGCAACACGTTTATTTTTAAAGGTGAAAACGATTTTTTTTCTTTTCTGTAGAAACTCAATAATCTACATGTATTAAATATCCGTAATACATACACATATGTTTGAAATTTGAATTGGGGTTAGTGTACCTTGTAGGCATAGATTGTCATCATAGGCCAATTTCCATACTAGCTGAAAGTAATAAATTCTTATTTGAAATTCTTTATGTTAACAAATGATTTGCATTTGATGATGTTGTTGTTCTCACTAAAAGCTAAACTGTGAGTTGAGATGTGGCCGTCCCGCTGTAAATGTAAATGTTCAAGGTCGCAGCAATGTGTACAAATTTGAAAAGACAGCGACCTATAACGTGACAAAAGACAGCAAGCCAGATACGAAATATGATGAAAAGCAGGGTTGGTATCGACAAAAATAAAAATGTCAAAGGGGCCAAATGAACAAATGAGCGGGTAAAACAGTGTTGGAAAGTAGGTCAGAAAAACATCCATGTCCTGTGGAGGGAGGCGGGGCGGAGCCAGCAGCAATGCAGATGCTTTATCCAGAGAGGTTGGGGGGTTGAGAATAGTGTGCTATAGTGGAAGCGCCGCAGATCTGCCTCTTTGCTGTTTGTTCCTAAAGGTAATGGTAATTTTGGCATGAAAAGTAACCTCAAATATACAAACATATCAAATTAGACCCCTGAATCAGTGGAGATTATAACACATTGAAAAACGACATCGTTGACCGAAATACGCAGCAGAACAGATCAGATGATTGGCATTCACAACCAGGCAATTTGAAAATACATTCATATTCATCTCCATTACAACATAGTCCTGCCAGTAACTCGGTGAAAAGGACATAAAAGGAAAACAAAAGAGGACCTGAATGTAAAAAGGAGAACATTTCAATTGATTCAGGAATAGAAATGAGGTCAGAGACCACAACTGCAAAATAATCCAGAGATGCATTTGTGTGTGGTGACAGGACTGCAGAGAAAAGATGAGTAAAAGAGAGAGAGAGAGAGAGAGAGAGAGAGAGAGAGAGAGAGAGAGAGAGAGAGTAAAAAACAGTGCTGAGGGAGAAAGTAGGTCATGGAGTCAGTGAAAGTGCAAACTGTAAATTGCTGATGGATATTCAAAGAGAAAAAATTCTCACCTCGAGTATGTCCGTATGCAGCTTAGATGTTCTCGGCTACATCACTGAATGGGATCAAATGACATGTATTGTACCTGGAGTAAAAAAGAAAGACGCAGTGTGCCCGGAGCTTCCTCTATTTTCCGTCCGTAACCCAGATGTCAGGCGAATTAAACCATTTAATTAACGCTGCTCCGTTCAAGCCTAAGGATACAATGTTTCTGCATGGTTTCACCGAGTCTGACATGCATGCAGGCTGAAAGCAGGCCCAACCAAAGGGAATAGAGAGGGGGGGACGCATGGAGGGCTGACATCTATTATCCAAACCATGTTCCAGTGAAGTTGGATGTTGCGTTTAACATAAATCAAAACAGAATGCAATAATTTGCAAGTCACGTTCAACCTATATTTGACTGGATACAATACAGAGGCAAGATATTTCATGTTCAACCGGCTAAACTTTATTGTGTTTATTGTGTTTAGCAAATAATCATTACCGGTAATTATGTATTTTTTGGCTGCAACATGTTCCAAAAAAAGCAGGGACAGCGTCATGTTTACCACTGTGTTACATCACCTTTTCTTTTAATAGCATTCAATCAACATTTAGACACTGAGGACACTAATTGTTGAAGCTTCGTAGGTGGAATTCTTTCCCATTCTTGCGTGATGCACAGCTTTAGCTCTTCAAAAGGCCGAGTTCTCCATTGTGGTATTTTACGCTTCATAAAACGCCACATTTTCAATGGGAGACAGGTCTGGACTGCAGGCAGACCAGTCTAGTACCCGCACTCTTTTTCTATGAAGCTTGTAACAATTACAGAATGTGGTTTGGCATTGTCTTGCTGAAATAAGCAAGGGCGTCCATGCAAAATATGTTACTTGGATGGCAGCAAATGTTTCTCCAAAAGCTGTATGTAGCTTTCAGCCGAAATGGCGCCTTCACAGATGTGTAAGATACCCATGTCACTGGCACTAACACAGCCTCATACCATCACAGATGCTATCTTTTGAATTTTGTGTCCATAACAGTCTGGATGGTTCTTTTCCTCTTTGGTGAGCAGGACATGACGTCCACAATTTCCAACAACAATTTGAAATGTGGATTCATTCGACCACAGAACACTTTTCCACTTTGCATCAGTTCATCTTAGATGAGCTTGGGCCCAGAGCCGGCGGTGTTCCCGGGTGCTGTTGATAAATGGCTTTTGCATAGCCTAGTTTTTAAGTTAAACTTGTAGGTACAGCACCGAACCATATTTACGGACATCATTTTTTATTTTAAGGGTTCCTGAGTCGCTCACATATTGATGGCGGTTTTTGATGAGGTATCACCTGAGGTATTGAAAGTTTCAGGCATTCAATGCTGGTTTTCGGTCTTGCCGCTTCTGAAGAAATCACCGCGGATTCTCTGAACCTTTTCATGTGATATTATGGGTAATGAAATCCCCAAATTTCTTGCAACTGTATGTTGTGGAATATTGTCCTTCAACTATTATCTCAGGCAGTTGTTCACAAAGAGGTGAACCATCTTTCCCTGTGAATGATTGAGCAATTCAGGTAAGCGCCGTTTCGACCCAATTGTAGCACCTACCTGTTCCCAGTTAGCCTGTTCACCTGTGGGATGTTTCAAACAGGTATTTGACTCAACTCTCTCAGGTTTTTTTGCCACTTGTCCCAGCTTTTTTGGAACCTTCTTCCAGGCGTAAAATTCAACGTTCATGATTATTTGCTCTAAACGACATTTATCAATTGCCAGATTAAATATCTTGCCTTTGTTGTGTATTCAATTAAATATAGGTTAAAGATGATTCGCAACTTATTGTATTTAATATTATTGTTAACCACTGTGACATTACACAGTTTGCATTAGCGCTGTACTTAAGCACAGAAAACAAAAACAAAAAAAAAATCAGATTGTTGTGTAACCAGCCTGCCACTAAATAAGCCTGACACTCACTCACATTACTCCAAAACAAGTAGTTCAAGGGGAAGTCAACTCTCACAATTTTTTGACAAGAATATGTTCGATGCAGTCACACTAGTCTCTAAAAACGGAATTCTGATTCATATTGCGTACGTGGAATATGAGTTGAATTAGCTTCGGAAAACAGGTGAGCTGCGATTGATCGTTACCTGAGCCCTGAGCAACTGTGATGCCATTTTCACCCAACAGAAATTGGCAAACTGGACACCCCTTGAGACAGTTTAAAAAATGGGTGGCTTTTGCTGCTTAAACCATATTCCACAAACAGTCTGAATCAGAATGCCGTGTTTAGGCTAGTGAAGGTGCATAAAACATATTACTGTCAAGAAAATATTTGGGTTGACCTCCCCTCGAACCAGGTCACAGAATTAAAATTGAAGCATGTGGTACATCTCAAAAAGGGATCGCATTCCTCGGCTCATCAGACTGCAATCTGCTTTTTCTTTCCCTTCTGCAGACAAATTATGCTTCAATTCTTTCTTCAATAATGAGGACATGCAGGAGATCACCAAGCACTTTGTGGTTTGCCACGTCGACGCTCCGGGGCAGCAGATTGGAGCGTCACAGTTGCCACAAGGGTACATCAAAGCGGATTTGTACAAATATGCATATTGTACTTCATCCACTTTATTTAAGAACAAAAAAACACTCCATTTGGATTTAGACTGCTGGTTTGATCGACGAGTGACTAATGCAACAATTTTAAAGCTTCGTCACTGACGTGGGGCCGTGGTCTTTACATCTCCTCTCCTTCCACAGGTACCAGTATCCCACTATGGACCAGTTGGCGAGCATGCTTTCCACTGTGGTGCAGCATTTTGGGTTGGTGCACTTAAACATTTCATTCATACTGTACAACACCATGTTTTCGAGTCTTGCTGTTTACTGGGACATCGTGTTCTTGTTTTTCTGGCAAAGATGATCTACTCTATTTCTGTGCTGCGCTGCAGGAAATCTGTTCGTTAAAATGCCTTTGAGTTACACACTTGCACACACCCACAGACATTCACGAGAGCCAGGATTACTTATTTGAAATTCACTCCGGTCTCCGGAATTGATGTTTTTTTAAAACAGTCTCAACAAATGCAGGTACGTCTTTGTCCGTCTCTGTGCCTTCTGTTCTTCAGTTCGACTCGAGAGGCGTTCAAGACCGCCTCCGAAAAACATAAACTAACGATTACTTCAATGAAACTACGAAAATTTAAATTAATACATTAAAACTGAAAAGCAAGCGAGGATATCACCAAATAAATTCTATAGCCCCCCCCCCCACAGAATTTATATTGTGATTTCCTCATTTGTGAATACACAACAAAGCAATAAATAACTACTACTGACATCTGATCGTTCTGTTGGAGCTATGATCAAGGAAATGCCAAAGCGTTTTTCAGAGGCGGTCATGAATGCCTCTCGAGTTGAACGGAAGAAGAGAAGGCACAGAGATGGACAAAGACATACAGTGCCTGTACTGTACGTCTTTGTCCGTCTCCGTGCCTTGTTCATGGCCGCCTCTGAAAAACGTAAATTAATGATTACTTCAGTGAAACTACGAAGAAAATCAAGTGAGGAAATCACAAAATAAGTTCTGTACGGGGAGGGATATAGAATTTATTTCATGATTTCCTCGCTTGATTTTCTGTTTTGATGCATTATTTTCAATTTTCGTAGTTTCATTTAAGTACAGTAATAGTTAATTTACGTTTTTCAGAAGCGGTCATGAATACCTCTCGAATTGAACGGACACCTCTCGAGTTGAATGGAAGGAGCGTAGCACCATCTAGTGGAAGCATTGTAGATTGCGCCTTATAGATGCGTCCAATGTATGAAAAAAAAAAGACAAAATAGCCATTTATTGAAGGTCCGCCTCATAATCCAGTGCGCCTTTTAGTGCGGAAAATACGGTATATACAGTCGTATACAGTATGTGAAAATTGTGTTGTACAACTATGCATAACTACAATACTCAAAAGCTGACATCTATTGTGTCTTGAAAAAAAAAAACATTCGCAATCATTGACCTGTTTTTAGATTCAAGAGTATCGTTGGGATTGGAGTCGGAGCTGGATCGTACATCCTGGCCAAGTTTGCTGTGAGTCCAATTCAGTTATTGTCGAGAGATTTGCGGTACAGTGATCCCTTGCTATTTCGCGGTTCGTTTATCGGGCTTCAGTGCATCGTGGATTTTTTCAAACAATCATTAAAAAAAAAACAAAAGATTTTTTTTTTTTTTTTTTTGAAGTCCGCAAAAATCAGTGTCTAAGTGTTGTTTACTATGCGTGCTAGTGTGTGCGCACTCTGCTCAAGCACGGAAGGTCCACATGGGACACGGCCTCCATTATCATGAGGTTTAGTTGATTAAAAAAAAAGAGAGGGAGAGAGAGAGAGAGACAGAGAGAGAGAGAGAGAGAGAGAGAGAGAGAGAGAGACTTATCAGAACAAAAGCAGGTCTCTCCATCTTTAATTGTCCAAACAACCTTAATTTAATTTACAGTGCAATACTTGACGTGCAATACTGTTTTCATGTGCAATACTGTCTTACTGTGTCCTTACTGTGCAATACTGCTCGATGTGCAATACTATTTCGATGCTGAAGCCACTACCTCAAGACCTCAAGTGCTAAGCTACTCTTATCCTGTGTCTTTCCTTGCTCTTACTTTCTCTACAATAAGCCGCTCTCGCACAACTCCAATTGCCCCACGGGGATAAATCAAGTTTTCTGAATCTGAATCTGAATTGACTAATCATAAACACGTCTGCTGCAAGCTTGCAGGGATCGCTGGCCTGTGTGTGTGTGTGTGTGTGTGTGTGTGTGTGTGTGTGTGTGTGTGTGTGTGTGTGTGTGTTGGTGCGCTCTGCTCAAGCGCAAAGGCCCACGTGGGGCAATTTTTTTTATATGTATGTCAATTGGTCGCTACTTCGCGGATTTTCGTTTATCTCGGGTGGTTTTGGTCCCCATTATCCGCGATAAACGAGGGATTACTGTATTTCCTGAAAGGAGCCAAGCTGTGAACCCCCAAAATGTTTCTGTATTTAGCTCATCTTCCCTGACCTGGTGGAGGGCTTGGTTCTGCTCAACATTGACCCCAATGGCAAAGGATGGATTGACTGGGCTGCCACAAAGGTACCTGACAGAATGTTTCCTGTGACTGATTTCCATTTCTAAACTGTGACACACACAACATAGGGATGTTTCGCAGCATACTGTTCATACCATGCAACATGCAATCGCTGTCCTTCCACTAGCTGTCAGGACTGACGAGCACCCTGCCAGACACTGTCCTGCCACATCTTTTCAGTCAGGTATGTTGAGGAGTCCTTGTAGCACACCAGCCTTTTGCGCAAGAGCCAGAAAGTCATGAAGCTTTTTATTTGGATACAGGAGGAGCTGATGAACAACACAGAGCTGGTGCAGAGCTACCGGCAACAGATCAACAACACCATCAACCAGTTCAACCTGCAGCTTTTCTGGAACATGTACAACAGGTAGAATGCTGGTTCGATTGTCGTTTCAAGACGTATGTATACGTTATCCTGGACGATCAAGCATCTCCACAGACAGCATGTTCATCATTATTATGACTTGTGATCTTCAACCCTCACTCGGAAGTCTTTCTGACCTAAGCCCAACCCAAAGGTACTCTTCGGAGACAAAGCAACTGTCAAAGAGCATAATATTCGACTCTTCTTGTCCTTTCTAGTCGGAGGGACTTGGAGATGAACCGCAGTGGGACTGTGCTGAATGCCAAAACCCTGAAGTAAGTCCAACACACCTGAATTTATTCTGGAATGAGTGGATGGAAATTTCAATTCCTTAATTCAGTCATGAAGTAGTAGAAACGTCAGCGGCAAAGTCACGTTTATTTGATTTTTATCCGAAAATTATATTCAGAAAAATCAATGTGCACATTGGCTAAGTAAAATGCTTTCCATAATTGGTGGGTTTGTTTTAGGTGCCCGGTTATGTTGGTTGTGGGAGACAATGCCCCTGCTGAGGAAGGAGTGGTGAGTCCCATTTTTGTTCCTTTTCTACATAATAACAAAAAAAAAAAAATGCTTTTCCAATTGTCTCCTCTTGAGGCATGACTCCTTTCTCAAGTAGATCTTTTGAGGAATCGTAACCGCAAACAATGCGGTAATTGTCTACATAATTTAATAACAGCATTAATGTACATACTGTATCATGAACATGAGCACCGGTTGAGCTCTGGCTGCACAAGTTACAAAAGCGCAAAAACCATATTGTAAAATCAATCCCAAAATCTGACAAAACAAAATGAACGACACCACAGCACATCATCCATGCTAATATATTTTTAAATGAGGCACTGTTATTGTCCTGTGTTGTCCTTATGCATTGTTGTGAAATCATGAAAAAGTGACTGTGAATATTTAGAGTTCTGAAGACGATTCAAGAGATGTCATCCTTGATTTTGCACCTAATGGGGCTGAATCGATATCAGGGACCCTGTTGCCCACCAGTCCCCATGAACCACACAAATAGCCTGCAGGCCTGTTCAACCCATCGCTCACCGGTGATGGAACGTTGCGATTTCCTAGGAATGTTATCGATCATTTGGACATGTAAACACGTGCGTAGATTTATTGAAATAATGTGCTGATATTTATCCATTTCCTACCAAATCATTCTTGATAATGTTTGTGAGACATTATTTGCATGAACAATTGTCTTTACACAGAGGAAAATCATTAATTATGAACAAAAACAAACAATTCAAGGTCATTACCCACACATTTCATACTACAGATATGGGGGCATGTAAAATCGACAAAGTTCGGTTTTGATGTCATTTTTTTTGTCGACAGCAAGTGTCAAAATGACCGACCCCCAGAAATGGATGAAAATGGGTCGATATTGCTGCTTAATTCATATTTCACAAACACAATATTAATCGGAATGCTGTGTTTAGACTAGTCAGGGTGCACAGAACATATTTTGTTGAAAAACTTGTTGACTTCATCTTTGGTTGGTTGGTCTAATATGGTTCACTATTTGTGTTCTGTGCAATGTTATTCATGTTTGGATGGAAATGCAGTTCATGACTACATTTCCTACCCAAAGCAAAGCAGATCAGTTAGACAGCCTGGATAAAACTCACCACAAGCATATACTTCCCTCTTGTTGTCGTGTCTGTTTGTCCATTTGCATGAGTGGGTGTCTGTTGCCTTTGTAGGTGTGCGTGCGTGTGTGCATGCATGCATGCATGTGTTCTGTTGGGGGCCAGATGGTCTCATTTTGACTCCGAGGGCTCTCAATTTGAAAATGGTGCAAGTGCTGCGTATATGCTTCTGCTCTATGCGGAAACTTAAATCAAACCCGTCGAATCAAAAGCAGGAGGAGTAAGATGCAGTCAAGCGGGGGGATAAGGCTGGATGTTGCTTCAGCAACTGCAGAATGGCGGTGAGATAAAAACATCAAAAGAGGCAAAATGTAAAAAAAAAAAAAAAAGTCTTTTTTTTTTTTTTTTGATGTGACAGATGGAGGTCATCTCCACTGATGTGAACAATTGAGGCAGTGTTTGCCTCTAAATATATCACAGTCCTTTACTTGAAATCAGCAAAGGGTGGGGGAGAGAAGGGAACATGGTAACGGGTGCTAACAAACATGTTTTATTGTCTTCTGTATAAGATGGCATTTGAAATTCAAAAAATGATTTGGCAATCTATTTGGGGGATTTGGATTAAACTCAGCAGGATTCAGTGAGCGAAATCATGCCCTTCGCAAATAGCAATGTTTGTGTGCCTGCGTGTGTATGTGTGTGGAATGAGTCATCACTGCAGCACGCTGCAGTATCTGGGTCACTCATAGTCCCTTTTATAATGGAGCATATGCTGTTGATGTCGTCAATTCATTTGCAAATCATTGTCTTTTTCAAAGTGACAGTTCAATCACAGCGATGTCAAACTTTTCTTGTGAATGAGGTTGCTTATTCTGTTGAACTTGGTCTCCAGGTTGAGTGCAACTCCAAGCTCGACCCAACCAACACCACCTTCCTAAAGGTAACCACGACGCATGCATATTATTATGCATTATCTGAATCATAATGTACATGGAATGTGTAATCACGGCCACGATGGGCATCTGTTATTGTTTACTGTGACAAAAACATGAACAACTTTTTCATCGACTTAGAATTCCACTTTTACTCCACTGGAATTCAAATAACAGAATGAAATTATAATCCAAGCATTTCATATCCGTTCTTGTAGTCATCATGCTCAAGATCAGAATCTTCAGCATCACTGCTGCTTGTTTCTTTAAGCGAAATAATAGCTGCCATTGTCAATTATAACCTCAGAATACTTAATTTATTGTCTTTGAATGCTGGATTTATCCAAACATGCTGCATTAACACAATATGGTCAGAAGTTTTTGGGAATCATCATGTTGCATATACAAGTGGTCCTCAAACACTGTGGCCCGGCCTCTTGTACTGGGCAGCACAGGGGTTTAAAAAAAACAAAACAAAACAAAACATTTGTTTCCTGTGTGTGTGTGTGTGTGTGTGTGTGTGGGTGTGTGTGTGTGTGTGTGTGTGTGTGTTGTGTGACCAACCACTTCTTTATTTTTTTTACCATAATTGGGGATATTTTTTTCTGTGGAGCAGGATGGGGCAGGTGTGAAAATCAACCTCTAATCTTCCAATAGATATTCATTTTACCACACAGTTTTTATATTAAAAAAAAATCACAATAATTCTGTCGAGGTGCCATAGATGATGCCGGCAGAAGTCCGTGATGGTAAAACTTGACGATACAAGCACAAACTAAGTTAGTGTATGAAGCCACCTAAAAGTGCAGAGAACTTTTCAGTTTCAGAGAACATTTTTTCATGGCCTTTTCCTTTTCTCATGACAGATGGCTGACTCTGGTGGACTCCCCCAGCTTACACAGGTAACACACTAACCGAACATGGCACACTTCGTCAAGTTCCTCAAGTTTCATGTGGTTGTTTTGTTTTCACAGCCTGGGAAGCTCACTGAAGCGTTCAAGTATTTCCTTCAAGGAATGGGCTACAGTAAGTATCCTGACCCCCAGTAACTGCCGTAGGCAATATTTTGTCTTTATTGCTGTCTTTTTGGTCACAATATGTTTGTAGAAATGCACCTTAGTGGTAGTATTCAGGATTTGAGGCCAGGTTTTGTTCAGAGAGACACAAGTTGAATTAATGTTGGCCTCTGTCTCCCTTGCCCTGTTCTCTCAGTCGCTTATGTGAAGGATCGGAGGTTGAGTGGAGGGCCAGGTACTTCCTCCTCCACATTCACCTCTGACCTCTTACTGCTGCCCTGTATGATGCTCTTTTCAAACACGTATTTTGTTTGGTTTTTAATGCAGTGTCTTGGGATGTTTCTGAACCTTTTATTATTTTTTTAATTGTCATTTTTTGGCATTTGCAAGACCTAAAGGCCCTCCATCTCTGAATATTTTTTCCTTGAGTGGAAAAATATACTGTCCTTTGTTTTCCTCCCCTCATCATGCCATTTCCAAAACTGCTCTTTGCATGGCCCTTAATGAGCTTTTGGCAAGGCCTTGCTGATTGCATTCATGACAAATGCAAATATTTTTTAAATACCATGATGAAGAACTGCAATTTCAATATTCTTTATATATTATTGATAGCCATAAATATATCTCTCCATATAGATACATACTGTGTATTCATATACACTACTCACAAAAAGATCGGGATATTTGGCGACAGTGACATAATATCATGAAAGTAGGACATTTGAGTAGAAGAATGCACTGGGGAGTTCCTCATCTCAACCAATTCATTGAAACAAAAGTTAACAACAATGGTGGGTACACCACAACAAAAAAATGTCAACGTCTCGATAACTCATCATGTGCCCTTGAGCATCAATTACAGCTTGACGACGACGTCTCATGCCGTTCACAAGTCGACTTATTGTCTGATGAGGCATCCCACTCTTCTTGAAGGACAGCCCTCGGGTCATTGAGGTTCTGGGGTGCAGAGTTTCGAGCCTCTACACGGTGACTCAGCTGATCCCGGTGGTTTTCAATAGGATTCAGGTCTGGAGAAAGTGCAAGCCATTCCATTTCCGGTACACCAGTCTCCAACAGCCGTTCCCTGATGATGGGACCTCGATGAGCTGGAGCATTGTTGTCCATGAAGATGAAATTTGTGTCTTGTTCATGAAGAGGCACAACCACTGGATGAATAATGTTATTCAGGTAGTCTTCGATTGTCACAAAGCTTGTCAGATAGCAACAGTGGCCGATGCATAGCGCTCTCCTTGATGTCTCCGACATCATTGGCGGCCGTCATTTCTGCTCAGTGTGAATCGACTTTCATCGGAGAACAGTGCTGAGACCCACGGGTCCCTCATCCAGCATAAATTTTCCTTGGGCCATGCACGACGGTGACGGCCTGTGCCCGGTGGTGTGGCCAGGTACGCTTGCAGGTCATCTAGCACACAGACAACGCTAATGCAAATGCTTTCGAATGGTCTGACGTGACACTTGGGTGCCTCTCACCTCCCTTAAACATGCCTGGAGTTGAGTGACATTCATCATCCGGTTTCTCAGGGCATTGTTCACAATGTAGCTGTCATCAGCATGGGATGTGGCCAAAGGACGTCCACTTCGACATCTTTCTGTGACTCTTCCAGTCTCTCTGCCTCTCTATTGCAACCTGCTGATGTGACACCCTAAGCTTTTGTCTGATAACGTCCTGTTTGAAGCATCACAATGGCAAGGGACTCTTGATCCATTTGTTACATGTCGTCTTGGTCTCATGATGTCAAAAATGTGCACGGCATGATGAGGACGACTGTTTAAACACCAGCTTGAATTGAACCAGGACATTTATTGTTCGATTCAAGGATCAAACGACTGTTGTGAATTTTGCTGTTAAGCTCTGAGTTAGAGAACAGCAGCTTGTGCAAAAAGTACTGAAACAATTCACAGTTGGACTTGTGCATTTGAGGTTTCATGAAGTTCACCTGTCAAGGTTTGAATGCATTTTAGGCTCGTCCTGAACTTTCACCCGAAAGCCAAATATCCCGGACTTTTTGTGAGTAGTGTAGTTTTTATGTCAACTCACAGGTGTCAAACTCAAGGCCCAAGGGCCAGATTTGGCCCGCCACATCATGTAATGCAGGTCGCTAAAGCAAATCTAGTTTAATTTATTTTTCTGAAATTCAGTTTACACCCACACATAAAACCAATTTTTCTATAATCGGTTCCAAAATTGCTAATTGTCTTCACTTTTAATAACATTGGTATATTGCAATTTTTGTTGTTGTTATCAAACCACTCTGTTGTGCAGCTCTAATAATATGATGAGGCAGTTGTAAATTTCTGTGGTTTCACGGTCATTGTGGCTCTATGAGGGAAACCATAACCACAATGTGGCGTGCGACAAAAATAATTTTGACACCGCTGCTTTACATGGTAATAATACCGTAAAGAGGAAAGCTGATTACTCGATCACATTTAAGATAAGACAAGATATCCTTTATTTGTCCCACACTGGGGAAATTTACAGTCGACAGCAGCAAAATTAGGGTGTAGAAAGAAGAAAAACAAAGTGTTTGCATTCAAAGAGTCATATGGTTTTCAAAGCACCTTAATAAAAAAAACAAAACAAAAACAAAAAACCCGTAAAATTATCTTTTCACAAACAGTCACCCTTCTAAAAGAAAAAAAAAACGACAACAACAAAAACAGCCAGCGTGCAAGTCTTTTCAGCAATGAGCTCCACATAATTCGAAAATAAAGCCCAAGCTCCTCAACTGCATGCTGCTCATAATGCATTTGTGACTAGACCAACAACACCAACTGCTACATTGCTCAAATCCAGGCTCTTGTTTGTTCATCCGCAGCAAAAAGGGGACATTTTAATTTTAATTTCCCGAAAAGCATGATCTCCCCTCATATCAGTAATGTGAAGCACATCAACACGTGTTGACGTGCTTTTTTTCTTCACCCCACAGTGCCTTCCGCCAGTATGACTCGCCTGGCTCGCTCCAGGACCGCCTCCCTGACAAGCGCCAGTTCCATGGACGGGTCACGTTCTCGTGCCTGCACCCACTCCGACAGCACCGAGGGAGTTGGCGCAGTCAGCCACACTATGGAAGTTTCCTGTTGAGGTGTCAGAAAAAGAGGGGAGGAAGGGGTGGAGGGACAGAGAGAGAAGCCATAGCGGGGAACAGTCAAGGAGATTGTTTTAGGAAACGAATTTGATGGGATGACGTCAATAGCCATGATCGCTCTCTCTGTCTTTGTCCTCGAGATCCTTTGTCTGCTATCTTCTATCCTCCTATATTGTAACAAATCAGTTAATGTGCATTTACAGTCAAAAGTAGACATGCATTCATCATGGGCATGAATGTCACGTTCATGTTTGCGCCTTTAATGATTGAGTTGAAGTTTCCTTTCCTTCTGATAAGCTGTCCACTGTAGTAACCGCTTTCTCTGAAAGGCTTAAAGAACATAAAATGAGTGCACACAGAGTTCAAATGATTTATAGAGGCTCTAACGTAGATAATATAAACATTCAACTCACTCTACCAAGTAGCGACGAAGGTTCAAGAAGGAAATTCGAATGGACAGAGTCAAGCCTTGCTAATGTGTTTGTAGGAGTCACCATTCACTGCAACTGGTGGTTTCTCTTTGCCATTATTGAGGCAGACCCTCCTACATTTTTGAATATGCCTAAAAGGCAGGTCTGTACCGCCAAACCAATCCGTTTTAATGAACTCGTCCAACTCTGCCAAGACGTGTGGTCAAATACCAAGTCACAATTATCCCAGAAGAATGCGGTTGGCTATAAAATGCACCTGGTTGAGGTCAAACTCACAAAGGAACATTTGACCAATATTAGCGAGTTTTATATACACTCTACATACAGTATTTCAGCCAGTATGAAATACTAAGTGAATCAGAGAAATTCACAAATAAATAAGAATATGTGCACTCATTTCCTGTTTTTAAATCTCCTCGAAAGGACAGTTCCAATCAATCATTAAAAGCCCCAAATAAATGTATGCCCATGATTGAGTGTTTTGAAACTTCTGAACGCAACTTTGCTATTGCTATTCCCAACTCCGCCTTCCTTCGTAATACTTGCCACAAACTCACTCTTGAATTTGTACTCTTGACTATCTCATAGTTGTGTTTGCTAAGTAGACCCCCTTTATTGGCTCGAGCCCCTTTCATCACCCCTTGCCCCCGGCACATACACAAAAACACATGAACCGTTTGTGTAGCAATATTCAGAAAAGAGCTGCTCAAGTCACGATATGAAAAAAGGAGAATGTGAGGAGGTCAAAGAAGATGTAAGGGGTTCGAAAATGTCTTTTGTATCGGCACTTTATACGGTGGTCACAAGGTATCCAGAATTTGACAGAAATCAGAACACAACCAACTGTATTGTCAGAGTAATGCTTAGACTGCGCATAATTGTTTGCTTGTTAGCATGATAGATAGATGACACGCAAACGACAATGCTTTTAAGATCCACTTGAGTTATGTGTCTCAGGGGTTGTACAGACTCGTCGACGAGTTGACTTTACTCGACAACGGCCTTTGGACCGCAATCTCAACTAGTTGCTAATCATGTCACTGAATGCGAAGCTGTGGTTCGTGTGGGAGAAAAGGGGGGTGAAAGCCGGACTCCAGCAGGATTTTGAACAACTTTTTGGCCTACACTATCAAAGTAGACAGAGTATGGAGAATTATTCCACCACCCACAAAGAGGTTCATAATGACCCGCATTGAGGTCTCGGCCGCGCTGGAGAAACATCATAAATTTCCATCATGCAGAATCCACTGCTGTGCTAAGCCCAGAACACGCGCAGGTTTCCTCGTTTGGCCAAGTTGTGCAAACTTGTGCACGTTGTTACCTGGCTATCCTGGTGGCAAGCCCACAGAGCAAGATATATTTTTTCCCCCCCCCTGGCTGGAAATGCCATCACACCACAGCGGTCGTGCTTTCACCCAGTCCACATCAATGTGCTTCTTTTCTAACATATGTTTGATGTAAATTTGGTGTTGCACATTGTCAGTGAATCTAGATTATTGCAAATCATTCCATCCTCCTGTGATTAAAACAAAAAAAAGAAAATATTACTGTAGTACTACACTGAATATAACAATGGTGTCACCAGCTACTAGTTGACATTGACTTGATTTTCAGTACGTTCGTGTCGACGTGAAAAAAAAAAAAAAATCCAAGTCGTGCAACCCTTATTACGTGTAACATCGCAGGCTGCAACCAGCTCATCATTTTTATTTACTTCTTTATCATGACCAATTTTACAATTATGTGACCCAAGTTATCCTCATTAAAAAAAATACTGAAACCATTGAACACAAACACACACAAGCTGATTTCAAGTGAGATGACATTGTATGATTTGTGAGCTCTTCAAACAGATGCATTATGATCACATCTTCAACAAATATTGATGACAATTTTCGATTTCTTTTATTTACACTATTGCCGAGAGCAGCTTTAAGATGTGTGCCATTTGTATTTCCACAACAGTAATATAGTGTAGAGTTGTGTTTCGTAACATCTATATGCATGTGATGTTTGATCTTATGATGCTTTATTCTATGAGTAGTCTAGTATTAGGGTGGTTACTTCGATAGAGCCATGCTTGTAACTACTATCCATCAGTCTGTAACTGCATGGTTGTGGTTGTGGTTGTAGTCAACTCTTTGTGATCTCCACTTTGACAATCACTTTCTGATCAATAGCAAACACGACCAGTGGGACTGACGCAGCACCAGGCTTGTTCACCTTGTCTTGCTGGGTCACCCCCCCCCACCCCAACCCCCCCCCCACACCATAATCAAAACTTATTGTTCTTATTGCAACTCGCCCCTCTTCTTATATGTACCAAAGTTATACACCCACACACACTTAAATATACATATAGATGTACAGTACTGGTATATACATACATGCCAACAAAAACTGCACAGGCTCGGTGTTGAAAGGGAACTACTTACTGTATGACCAAGGGAAAAAGGCATAAATAGTCACACACAGTACAGTAGTTCATTATTTCAGTGGAAAAAGTCCGTATTTGTTTTGATGTGCTACGTCACCATACATGCATTAGTATATAGTATGGATGTACTTAGAGCTTTAGAGTAGGGAAGTTGTGTGCTGTTGCCTGCTCTTATACTGGGCCGCAAATGGGTCCCCTGGTTCTTGGATTATTCATGTACATCGTCAATGCACCCTGGTCACCGATGTCACCTGTTACAAAAAAAACCCTTTGTTCAGGTCCGGCATAGCAGGTGTGCACATTTCTGAGATGGCCTGTGAGAAACGGGGCTGTTTTGGAGCCATTTGGGCACCAAGCTCAGAATGTAGGGCAACCCCCAACCACCTTAAAAAAAAAAAAAAAAAAATCTCCCATTCCCTAAAAAAGGTGCCCCGATTCTCACAGGTGAACCCAGTTGCACCCTAAAGGGCTATCAGCTGAAGTCACTTTTATAAAAATGTCTGCCATTAGATGTGTTTTTTTTTTTTTCTGCGCACCGAGCGACTGACACAGACTGAAAAGAGAATGTGAGCTTGTTGATACTGGGGAGTAAGTTGTCACGGAGGGTTATGTTTGAAACCTTAAAATTTATGTAAAAATCCAAATACTTGTGAACATGAGCTGGAGGAAGGCGTTAGGACATTGCATGGAAAACAAACACCTCAATCATTTGCATGGAGTGGAGTGTATGTGGGGTGTATAAAAGACAACCTTCAACACACACTGCCCAGGGGGCGGGGGGTCATGGGGGTATGGTGTTCTCCTGAATGTATTTTGTCCCTTTTTTGAAGTGCTGTACAGTATTGTCACCCTAAACCTTATCCTCCCAGAATTTCTACACTATACTTTGTACCTCCACTTGAGCCAACGTTATGATTCCCCCACTACAAAAGTCGTGTAGGTGACTTGTGCTTTGGCACTGAATGAGTTTAGCCCTCCTTGCACTTTTTTTTTTCTTCTTGGATTACGAGAGCTGGCTACTAACACCAGATTTTGATGTTGGGTTATGGTGAAATTCCTGATATAAACGCGATCAACATGGTGAAACTTTATTTTAGTTCAGTGATTTGTTCATGTGTATTAATACAGTTATTCTCCTTACTGTCATTCAGATTAATTTCACTTGAGCAATAAGTATTTTTTTTTCTTGTTTGCATTGTTTCATCATGTCTTCCCTGCCATGAGCAGTCACAACAATTCTTACCTGCTTGGCTGTCATGTGTGATGTAAAGTTTAAATATGTCATCTATACACCATAAGCTGTCACTGTTCCATGTACTAAATAAGTAACAAGTTATAAATAAAGACCTAGTGTCAGCATTTGCTGTGTCGAATGTGATCAAATTTGAATCTCTCATTTAACGTGACTAACACCCTCTAAGGTTTTATATATATACTGCATGTGTGTGTGTGTGTGTGTGTGTGTGTGTGTGTGTGTGTGTGTGTGTGTGTGTGTGTGTGTGTGTGTGTGTGTGTGTGTGTGTGTGTGTGTACACGCGGTGTATACAAGTACATACGGTGGATACATACTGTATCAGTGAATCGAAGGTAAATATGACTCCAAAATGAAACAATTACAAATTACAAAGGGTGTTTGGAATTATCCTTTCACACTCTTTAATGGCAAGATTAACTGTCTTAGAGACAAAGTGAGAGAGAGCAGACTTGCATGGTTCGGACACATCCAGAGGAGACATCTTGAGTGTATTGGTCAAAGGGTGATAATGATGGAGCTGCCAGGAAAAAGATGTAGCGGAAGATCAGAGAGAAGGTTGGTAGGTGTAGTGAGGGAAGACATGAAGGCACTTAGTGTTAGAGAGGAGGTTATAGAAGATAGACTTGGATGGAAACGATGTGGCAACCCCTAATAGGACAAGCCGAAACGAAAAGAGGAACTTAATTATCGGGTTATTTGACTTATGTTTGTTGTATTTACAGTCTTATTCAAACAAAAGCTTATAGGAGACCATGTAGGCATCACAGTAGACATACAACATCCGGTCCACTGGGCTGTAATTGAGGAAGTAGATGCTTGGACACATCTTGTGGATGAAGATGCCAAGGTTGAACTTCTCCACTCCAGTTGCGGTGTCAAATGAGTAGAAGATCTCTTCCCTGTCCTTATTGACATAACGCGTAGCGTAGAGGGTACCACAGGCCATGAAGGTATTGGTGACCGCCTGCTTATAGACGGAGGTGTGCCAAGTTTGGTTGATCGTCGGCGTATCTCCTTCTTCCACTTTGGACAACATCAGGTTCCCAAAGTGTTGGTCCATGCTGTAGATGAGCCACACACCTGACTCATCTGTTGCAAGGTCCATGTCAGTGTAGGGGTAGCATTCGTTTATTTGACAAAAATTCCCCTTGGAGTTATGTCTGGAGAAAAAGAGTGAGATATTTTTCGTTGACGTGTTGGTTATCTTAAAGATTGCCAATATAGTATCGAACAGGGGTCACCAACGTGGTGCCTGTTCTAAAGATGGTTCACCAGTCATGGGACATTGGAATTTTCTAAAAATGGTGTAGGAGTGATCATTTTTTAAATATGAACACTGGCAGACCTTCAAGAAGCATATTGATATTTATCCAGCTCCAAACTAAATCGATCTGCATCTTCACATATATGAGTATTGTGAATTAGTAATCATTGTCAGATGTGTTCATCTAGCTGGTAGCACCCAAGAAGTAGCTTTCAGTTTCAAAAAGGTTGGTGACCCCTCTTTGTATCATATAACAAAACAAAAGAAAAACGAACCTGGTGCCTTTGGGTAACTGCAGCGTGGAAACGGTTTTGGATGCTAAGTTGAACCGACAAAGTCGGTCACTGTTATAACAATTGTAGTACAAAGCATCGCCATATAGAACAACATTTGGTCCCTGAACGGTGTTGGTGGTTGGATTGGCAGGATGGATGAGGAAATTATCTGCAATGAGACAAGAGTGCCTTCATTTATTTTATCGCTCAAATAAACTTCTTATGCCTCACAAGCCAATCCCAGCTCTATTTGGAGAGAGGCCGGGTACACCCTGAATTGGTGGCCGGCCACTCACAGGGCTAAAAAAAAAAAAAAACAAAAAGACCCAAAAAGCTTACCGGTAATAATAAATATTGACAACATGATTCAAAGAAATTGCACTTTCCTCAGAAAATGCTATGAAATGCTGTGCAATTCAAACAGTGATTGAAAAGCATATGTGTATACAGTATAATGTTATTATTCTTATCATTATTATTCATTTTAATACAGTTGATCCAAGGTGTACCCCGCCTTTCACCCTGACTCAGTTGGGCTCAGCTTCCCAATGACATTGAAACACAAATGGTACAGAAAACGAATGTGGAGATCCGTAGGGATGCATTTTTTTTTTTTTCAAAAGATGTGCTTTTGAATTCCCGATAGTGGAGCGGTACCACGATCTGTCGCTGTATACCTGGTGTCTTCATTCCGACAGTCAGAGAGCTCAGGCTGGAGTAAAAGGTGATATGGTTGGCAAATATGTTGTTGACGTTGAGAATCACCCGCCAATACCAGTTCTTTTTGTCCTTCTCAGGTTTCGGGTCACGGCCCCAGCCTCCATACTTGTGGTTAATAGTCGTTTCTCCTTTTGAGTAGAATCGAGGCCCGGTAATGTTCACAAACTTGCCTTGGGGACAAATATCTACAGAGAAAAGGGAAGTATATGCAAGGATTATATTTATGAACGATCAATCATATGCGTTAAAACACTTCTACCGATTAGCAATCAGGAGGAGTAAAATGATTGCCGTTTTTTTGTGGCTATGCCCTCGAGAGAAACTTGAAGATGAAGCTTGCCTGAGGTCTGGGTGTCCGGTTGATGTGTGGGCCCTTGACCGTGTTCATTTTCATTTCTGCACTCATCCAGGGCTCTTTTCAGGCGCTGGTTGTCTTTACGTTTCTTTTCGACCTGAAGGGTGTCGTATTTCTCCAACTCCCGCAGCTGCGTTCTTAAGTGCATCAGCTGAGACAAACCAACAACAAACCAAAGCAACGACCACAAAGGTATGAATGATTACATCGGGGAACTAAAGAATAAAAAAACCATCAATTGAAATGTGAAAGGGATGTCATGACACGTTAAAAAATATGCAGTGTTTTCTCTTCTGGGGATGGTAGATAGTATTGGAATTCCATGCACTGTTTATTGGATTAGGTGCAGTCAATGTCAGCATCACATTAACTACAGTAAAAATTGTCTCCTGCTTTATGTTGTCTCAAATGAGTTTCAAAATGTCAATTGGCATTGTACGGAATGACTTTTTTTTTTTTTTTTGGCATGTTAACTGCTTACACTCAAACTTGGCATTAACAAAACTTACCTGTCTGCCAGAGTCAGTAGTTAACTGCTCGTACTCCTGCGTGGTTGCGTTGAGCCTGTCGAGCATATTCCTGATCTCAATGAGTTCATTTTCGATCACCTGAAGGCTGACGGCGCCATATAGCTCGCCATCATCCTCCTTCTCCAGCACTGACAAATCTTTTAGTAGTTGGGGCAGACGGAGCTTCAAACCAAGCAGCAGACTTTCAAGTTCCAAGGCCTGCAAAGAACAAACACTTTTTTTTGGGGCAATAATTGACATCACAAAAACAGTTTTTCGAAAGCATCATTTGCGGCACGTCACCTTCTGTGCGGTGACGGTGTGAGAGCATTTTCTTGCATCGTCATTCACTGAGTTGAGGGTCTCATGAGGGAAGGTCTTCTCTTTGTTAGTCAGCTGACACACGCAGCGATCTTTTGGATTCAGCTGATGAAGCAAACAATTTTCAAAAAAATATTCTCTTCAAAATCACGGCGAAATCTGATTTTAGAAGTGGAACTCGGCATGAAAGTTTGGAATGATAGAGCTCACCTGCAGGGTGAAGTTGAACAGAGAACACAGGAGAATGAGCGTGTGACGCTTCATGATGGCTTACAGGAGAATGAAAACCATCACTGAAAACCACGCATCTTTGAATGCCGCTGCATCAGGAACACCATCTGTCAAGGATCACTTCCTCCTCTGGTTTCACTTCAACAAATATTTTGGTTGTGAAGAAAACTAAGTATGAATTTTGGATGAAAAAAAAAACATTGTTTCCCATAAAAGTTATGCACCATCATCATTTACTTGGAAAATAAAGCATAACACTAAAATATTACACTGGACACGAGTCAACTAATTTTTACAACTGTTTTTAATCAGAGATGCAAGTAAACATTTTGAGATGGACTTACTGTATGTGTGTGTTGTTTTTTTTTGGCACCTATTTTCAATCTGTCTTTGGTTATTCCCTAGTACATGAGGTTTTCATCCATTTATCCATTTTCTGATCCACTTATCCTCATGAGGGTTGCAGGGACACCCTGAACGGGTTGCCAGCCAATCGCAGGGCACACAGAGACGAACAATCATCCGCACTCACACTTACACTTAGGGACAATTTTGAGTGTTCAATCAGCCTGCCATGCATGTTTTTGGAACATGGGAGGAAACCGGAGTACCCGGTGAAAACCCACGCAGGTACGGGGAGAACATGCAAACTCCACAGTGGATGGCCGGAGCCAGAATCCAACACTGCACCTCTGCACTGTGAGGCCAACGCGCTAACCAGTTGACCACCGGGCAGGTGTATATTTATTTAAAATCATTTTCTGGGCACTTTGTATTGAACATTTGGTTCTTATTATAAAAAATAAATTACAAAAATAATTCAAAATGCAACCAAATAATTTGGGAGGTGACATTTTAGAGGGGCTTCAGCTCCATGAAATAGGCATAACAATGCCACTAATCATTATGAATAATTATAAAAGCAGTCCAGGGTGACGAAGGCTGAGAGCAGTTCGTGCCTTCTGTGGTGATTCTGGCATCTGACATTGAAGCCAAATAGCTCCCACTGTACTGCGTCAAGAGGACGTAACGTTTACTGCATCATATGGGGCTGCCAGCATGTCCACATACTAATTGGCGACCAGTCCAGGGTGTACGTACTGTGTATGAATGCGTATTTACTTTTAAGATGATGGCTCTCCGGGTGGCCCGGTGGTCGACTGGTTAGCACTTCGGCCTCACAGTGCAGAGGTGCAGTGTTTGATTCCAGCTCCGGCCTCCCTGTGTGGAGTTTGCATGTTCTCCCCAAGGGTTTTCTCCGGGTACTCCGGTTTCCTCCCACATTCCAAAAACATGCGTGGCAGGCTGATTGAACACTCCAAATTGTCCCTAGGTGTGAGTGTGAGCGTGGATGGTTGTTCGTCTTTGCGTGCCCTGCGATTGTCTGGCAACCAGTTCAGGGTGTACCCCGCCTACGACTCGAAGACAGCTGGGGTAGGTTCGAACACGCCCCACGACCCTTGTGAGGATAAAGCGGATCAGAAAATGGATGGATGGATAGATAATGGCTCTCCTCTAAATTGACCGTCACTGTGAATGTGAGTGCGAATGGTTGTTTGTCTCTTTGTACCCTGTGATTGTCTGGTGACCAGTTCAGGGTGAACTTCACCTCTTGCCTAATGGCAGCTGGAATAGGGATCAGCAAGCTCACGACCCTTGTGAGGAAAATGAATGAATGATGGCTCACTTTCCTGAAATTTGGCATGATCAGTCACCCTCATTAACCATTCTGTCTGAAATATCCACCCATCCATCCATTTTCGGATCAGCTTTATCCTCACAAGGGTCACCGGGGGTGCTGGAGCCCATCTCAGATGTCCTCGGGCAGTAGGCGGGGGACACCATGGCACACAGAGACGAACAACCATCCGCGCTCACACTCACACCTAGGGACAATTTAGAGTGTTCAATTAGCCTGCCACGCATGTTTTTGGAATGTGGGAGTAAACTGGAGTACCCGGCGAAAACCCCCGCAGCCCCGGGGAGAACATGCAAACCCCACACAGGGAGGCCGGAGCTGGAATTGAACACGGTGAGGTTGACGCGCTAACCACTGGACCACCAGGCCGCCTGTATAAAATACTGTACGTATAATGATTTGTTTGGAAAAAAAAAGGCTATCCGCTGTACGCCGCCATGGGAACTTTAGATGTTATTGCCCCCCAAAAAACCCAAAAATTAGGAAGCTGTTTGTTGCACAATTATTATGAAATTTGGTACTTTTCTCTTTTCAAAGTTTCACATCCATCTTATCATATATTAAAACGGAACAAGAAGTGAATGTTCTAAGTCGAAACAAGAAGTGAGTGCGTCAAACTATAACTTCGTTTGTTATTAAGACACACAAGAGGTGTGGGAAGAAGTGTAGTGCGATCATAGAACCAGCTCAACTCCGTGTCAGTTTACACTTGACGATTTCAGTTCTCAACATGCTGTTCTTGCTACTTCTACTGGCATCCACAGTGAGTAACGTCTGTTTCATGCTGCATCACAAAAGTATCTGCACTCATTTTTATTGTATTCCTTTTTATATTATTATTTATTTATCTCTTTTAATTACTGTGAACATTTTGTGACACAAGGGTTGCCATGCATGATATTGTGAATCAAATACCTTTATTTAAAAAAATGGTAACTAGTCCTCTATTTACCAAACATTCAGTTGGTATGGTTTCTGACTTTGGTAGGTACTGGTATTAGTTTAAGAACATGTGAACTTCACAAAGGCCAGAGTCAACATAACTTTATGGGAATAATACGACTGTAGCATTGCTGTCGCTCTCCACTATCTGGTTCTAAAATAGTACAGGAAAATGGAGAGGCACAACACCCATCATTATAAAATGGGACATTAAAAATGAGTTTATTGTCCAGACCTTGAAGGAGAAAGGTGCCGGATGAATGCAGGTCAATCACAGCAAATACACAATGCAGTCATATTAACTGAAAATTGCTCACAATGTCTTATGGGGCATTTCACAGAACATAACGGGGGACTGATTTGAAATTCAGTCATGTATTAACCAGCGTTATGAGTCTTCATTTCTTTGTCATAATAATAATATTAGTCAGCATTATCATGCAATTTCTAGCTTTGTGCTGTTGTTTTGTTTGTTTGGTTTTTTTGTGTGTGTTTGTTGGTTTTTTATAGAGCAGGCCCAACTTTGTGCTTGATATCAGGGTAATTGCCAGGTCCAGTATGTGCCGGGTCAGATGAAAAATGACTCGTGTGCATGTGAGGTGAACACCAACGTATGGCTGTTTCCTGCAAAGAAGTACGAGGCAACACTGCAACAAGTTGAATCTTGTGATGATTCCCTTAAGAAGCTCCAAGAGCAGGTAAAGTTAAACCAGTTCTAATCTGTCGGACAGACTACCGTACTTTTAATTGAAGCACATTTGAATTTTTCATGTACACTAATCATTTTTTGGAAAGCTTAATTAGGATTTGGGTTTTCGACAAACCACTTGATCTGCAGCCAGCAATCCGTATTCTTTTCCACTAGGTGCATCGGTCAAAACAGCGTCTCCCTGAGATTCATGAAGTGGTTGAGAACATAACAGGGCGGCTGGAGCCTTACCAGTACCTACATTATAAGGGCCTCTATTCTGCCTTGTCTCTGCGTCAGTTGGGTGAAGAACTTGACAAACTCGAGGCTGACATTAACGCCATGTCCCTTCAAGTGAACAATGATGAATCAACAAAACTCTCAAAAGAGGTATGTCAGACCAGATAGCAACCAACCACAAATAGTAATCAAATCATTTAACAACAACAAGTAAACCCCATGTTAGAAAATTGTATTGAAAAGTCTGGAGCACAAGAACACACAGTCGGCACTATTCACTAAAAGTCAAAGAATTTTGGGTGAAATTTCAGGATGAGGCTAAAATGCTCCATAACCTTCACAGGTGAACTTCATTTAACCATCTCTAAACTTTTGAATGCACGTCCAACTATTTAAATAACTCTGCACAACTTGCAGTTTGGCAACAAAGAAGTCAATGACAACATTCAAAACTGATGTTTGATACATGAATCAACACAAATTATCTGGTTCTATTAGAATTGGTATTTAAACAGTCCCTTTCATCATTCTGTTCATAGTTTGACATTATGAGGCCAAGATGACACGTAACAATTGCGCGGCAGCATCTCGCCATTATGACCCTTTAAACAGGATGTGCTCAGAGAGAGGTGGCCATTGGAGCTTCGAGTGTCAGAGTCTCATTCGTCTTATTAGGTTTATACAAACAGACTGGAAGAGTCACAGAAAGCTATAGAAATGGACATTCTTTAACTTTGTTGGTCCATTCACTGATCAAATACAAATTGGGAATCTTTGTTCGACAAAAAAAAAAAAAAAAAAAAAAAAAAAACTTAAACATCGACCGGTTGGACATAGGATTCATTCAAAATTTTAGAGTAGGTCTAACTAAGTTGACCTGAATGCTTATTGTGCCTTATAGGTTCATCCTGAGATTTAACTAGAAACCAAAAGCTGAACATATTGAACCATTTGTGAGTAGTATACTGGATACAATATTAATAGCCCTGTCAAATCACAGAACCTTTTTGTCGTTCAAGATGCTTGCGCTGTCAGACTACCACATAAATATTTTTTTCATTTTGTTCAGGCCACTTTTTAAATACTGTACACCACATTGTGATTGTGTGCGCCACGTCCTGTCTCTCGTCATAAGTAGAAGGGCACAAGTGTCTTCCTATTGGTCAACGCTGAAGAACCAATCGAAGGACAACATAGGACATCTCAGACTATGCGACAAGATGAACAAAAATTCTGACCTGCGAGTCTTTTGCCGTCATGGTTGTGGTGATCAATT